TGGCTCCATGGTTTCCCCCAGGACGTGGTTTCCGACCGGGGACCCCAGTTCATCTCACGCTTCTGGAAAGCATTCTGTCGCCTGGTCGGCGCTTCCACCAGCCTGTCCTCTGGGTATCATCCGCAGACTAACGGTCAGACAGAGAGGGCGAACCAGCAGCTTGGACGCTACTTGCGCTGCTTCGCTTCGTCCCAGCCGACCACCTGGCCCCGCTTCCTCCTGTGGGCGGAGCTGTCACATAACCTCCAGACCTCCTCTGCCATGAGTCTGTCTCCCTTCGAGACCTGTTATGGGTACCAGCCTCGTCTGTTCGACCATCAGGTGCCCGAGGTGGAGGTCCCTGCTGCCCAGACGCTGGTCCACCGCTGTCGGCTCGCCTGGATCCGGGCCCGTGCGGCCATCACCCAGACCAACACGGAGTATGCCCGTCAACATCGCCGCCGCCACCGGCCTGGCCCCGTCTTCCGGTCTGGTGACCAGGTGTGGCTCTCCTCCGCTAATCTGAGGATGTCGGCTGGCTCCCGGAAGCTCACTCCTCGCTTCCTGGGTCCGTTCCCTGTCCTCAGGGTCATCAACCCGGTCACTTATCGTCTGCGCCTCCCAGCTGCTCTCCGGATCCACCCGGTCTTTCACGTCTCCCAGCTGAAGCCGGTGGTCTCCTCTCCTCTCCATCCTCCGACGACCCAGATGCCTCCGCCCCGCTGTGTGGAAGAGGATCGCATCTACACGGTCCGCAAGGTTCCGGACGCTCGCCGCCGGGGACGTGGTCGGCAGTACCTGGTGGACTGTGAGGGGTACGGCCCGGAGGAGCGCTCGTTTGTCGACCCTACCCTGCTTTCTGACTTCTGGGCCCGGCGTCCTGGGACTTCGGGAGCTGTCCCTCGAGGGGGGGGGTCCTGTCACGAACTCCTCCCGCTGACTTCATTTCCCAGCATTCTCGCCACCACTTCCCATCATTCCTGCCACCAACGTGGCTGCAGACGTCATCACGCCGACACTATATAAGGAAGTGACGACATTTCATTCATTACTCAGTCATCGTTTCTACCAGACTTTGTATCGTGTTCTCAGGCTTACCAGCCTTCAAACCTAACCCAAAGACTTATCCACGCTGATTACTATTAGTAAGCCAGCTACCTTATCCTCCGGAACTGCTACTCAGTCTCGGCTCTCTCTCCGAGCGCTGTCGCCATTCCCAGAGTAAAGCTGCGTGCTCTGTTCAACCCAACGCTAGCCACTCCGCGTCTGGGTCACACAGTAATCCCACAATCCATCTCCGCTATGCTTCAGCTCAGCCTTGAAACCTGACACATTATTTATGGAAATGAACAGGATCGCGTGCACCAGAAACCACAGCCTGTTTAAAATGATATGTTTTATGAGTCCCAAATGTTTTCACGTGAATTACCTTGTTGTGGTGTGGGGATTTTCATGCCTCAGTGAGGCATTTCTTGAGAAATTACCAATAAGTTAGATGCGTCACATGACCCTCTTCCTATTGAAAAAAAACAAAGTTGGATCCAAGATGGCCGACTTCAAAAGGGCTACCATGGTCACCACCCATCTTGAAAAGTTTGCCCTCTCACATATACTACTGTGATATTGCCATCCAGTCCCATTTTATGAAGGTGTATCCATGGAAATGGAGATATATAGATCTCTGTCCCCCCTCCCCCTGCCACACCTGGTGTGGGGGCTTGTGCCTTGGTCTGCCTGAGTGTTCGTGGCAACCGGGTCTGGGGGTTTAAGATTTTGGCATCTGCCTGTTAAATCCCGGTGGCTGCCTGGTAGGGTCTGGGTCCCTGGGCTCTGCTGGGTCCCCGGCGGGGGTGGTCGCCCCTGGGTCCCGGGTCGCTGGGTCCCGGGCTCGGCCGGCTAGGGGGTGGGAGGCTGCGGGAGGGACTGTGGGCTTGCCGCTGATATCTCCAGGGACTCTGCCGGCTGCTGGTTGTGGCCCCCCGGGGCGATCCTCTGTGCCTCTCGAGGGGGGCAGGGGCCTTCCTGGTTGCAGTCTCCTTGGGGTTCCTGCGTTCTGGGGCAGCGCCTGGATCTCTGGGACTTGGAGCTCCCCCCGTCTCCTGCGCATCTTTGGGGGGTGGATCTGTGGTCCCTCACACTCTCTGTTGGACGCTCCTATAGAAAAACCTTAAATAAACAAGCACGTGTACACACACAGGTGCTCACATGGTGCTCTCAAAAGTATGGGCTTGGGCACGTTAAACACAGGTCTTAAGACAATGGTGGGCACTTAATGCGTTGTGATTTATTATCGTGATTCTTCAGTTAAGCAATATTGATTATATATATATATATATTTTCTTTTCATCAAGTTGACGCAGTGATAGGTAGATCTTGTTGTATTGTTGTTGTGTCCCTTTTTTTGTGTCCCTTTGTTTTTTTTTTGTCTTTTTTTCTGCAGGTCTAGAAGCAGACTCTTGTTCATTTTTGTGGACACCCCCCCCTCTCTCTCCCCACCTTTTCTTTTCCTTTCTCTTTCACCTCTGTCTCCGTGTCTGGTTGGAATTACAAAGCATTCAACAACAATAACAATAAAGTTTTAAGTATCAGGCGTGACATTAAAAGCAAATGCTTTGATGCTCCACCTGAGAATAAATTTGTAAGGCTTGTCACCAGCATTCAGACATCAATTCTGCTTGCTTCACAGCCAGACAGGACACGTTAAAAAAAAAAAAAAAAAAAAGGGCTACCATGGTCACCACCCATCTTGAAAAGTTTGCCCTCTCACATATACTACTGTGATATTGCCAGCCAGTCCCATTTTATGAAGGTGTATCCATGGAAATGGCCCACCCTGTAGAATAAAAGCTTGTATCTGCTGCTGTTCTAAAGAGAAATCTGTTGAATGAACCTGAACTTTTGTCTCTGATCAGCTGAAGAAAAGCTCCAACATGCTCCTGCCCCTGTTCTACCTGTTTACTCTCACCTCTCTGACAGGTAACCCGGACTCTTTAATCAGTAAAGGTTTAGTGATATCTGACCAGTTGTGTGTAAAAATGAAACTTGTGCTGTCTGTTGAGAGATTCAGTTATAAAACTGAATTGTTTTAAATAATATTAAAGAGAAGAAGTTTGAATCACATCTTATTTTATTTTTAACAAGGTCAGGCTTTTTAACAGTGTCTGTTTTTCTTCCATGTCTGACATGAAGAGGGACAGGTTCTCTGTTCAGGTGTAAACTGCTCCTCAGGGATGGACTGCATCAGTATAAATGGGGATCTTCAGTGCGCCGACCCCTGTGACCACTACTCTGTGCTGAACGATAGCTGGCGCTCAGTGGATAACACAAACATCAACCCATTACACTGTGATCGGAATATCAACTGGGCCGGCTGGTATCGTTTCTTTCTGGGCCAAGCTGATGCTCGTATTCCAGAGAAGTGTATAGCAGCACACAGATGTGGAACCAGTGCCCCTTTGCGGATCACAGCACCTCACCCCACACAGATGTACCAAATAGTAACTCGCTCTGTTTGTGGTGCCTGGATTGGCTCCTGCTGCGATTATGTCTCACACCCCATCCAGATCAAACTCTGCAATGGATTCTATGTCTACAAACTTGCAACTCCTACAGGGTGCGACCATGCATATTGTGCAGGTTTGTTGTCTATTCCTTCAGTTAAATCCAACATTTTCAGTGTTCGTATTTTTGCTTTTTTACATTCTGATTAAATAATTTTAGGAAGAGATCATTACAAATGTGATGCAGGCTTTGGAGGTTGTCTGATAGAGAGACACAGATTTTTTTTCTCCCCAGAACTATGTTTCCCAAACCCAGAAGGCTTCAGGGCATCAGGACAAACCCAGAACAGCATCACTCTGCAGTGGAATAAAATGGACAACATCAGCTTTGTGCTCCAGTTTAACGGTACAGAGACAAGCATCAGTGCACCAACTGGAGTCGGACCAGTAACCTACACAGTCTCATCTCTCGCTGCTGGAACCACGTACACGTTCACTCTCTATTCTGTGTCTGGCAGCATCAGAAGCTCTGGAGTTAGCATCACTGCAACTATTGGTGAGATCCTCTGTGACCTTTGACCTTCTGTGTTTTGGTCCTCAGCTAATTTACTGTAGAAACAGAAGATAAAATGTACTAAACCTACTGCGCGGGCTGCCGGCTGGTTCTCCCCTCCCCGCAGCTCGGCGCATCTCTGTCTGATCGCGGCTTCTGTCTGCTGCGCGGGCTGCTGGCTTGTGGAGCTCTGGGATGGAAACCTTTCCACCCAGTTCTCCCCAGGGGCAGTTCTGCGCATCTCAGATCGCAGCGGCGCTTGTCTGCTGTGCGGCTGCCGGCTTATGGAGGTCTCCGAGACCTCTGTGTTCCACCCGGTTTTACCCAGCGGTCAGCCTGGCGTATCTCTGACTCAGAAGCTCTGGTGTTGTGCACAGTTAACTCCGGTTGTAGCTAGGTTGCTACCTCTATTAGCTTAGCTCCCACCTCCGCATTAGCTTTGGGTTAGCTTCAGGTTAGCTTGTAGCTAGTTCGACCGGGTGTCGTCAGTCGATCCCAGCCTTACAGCACCACCCTCAGCTCCACCTCTCTTCCCTTTTGTGGAATTTTCTGGGCTTGACGGAACCTGTGACACGGTCAAAATGGCGGTGGTGGCCACCTCCCATTTGGCCTCAAAAACGTGTTATTGAAGCCTATGGAAATGAACTGTCCAATATATATATGTCGATGGTTGATCCTCAGCTAATTTACTCTAGAAGATAAACTTTATTGAAATGATTATATTTAACAGTCAAGAACAAATATGATTTATTTTCTGTTTTCATGTCAACAAAAATTTTCTTGATGAAATTTTCTTGGACCTTTGACCTACAGACATAAGTAAGTAAGGAATTAGTTTCAGCCATTGTTGAGATTCTTAATATTTTCTGAGCGAATGAAACCAAATTTTGCTGAATCTGATCCATGTTGACGTCTTTAGGCTACATTGTGATGCTGAAGGTCAAACTC